CATTAAATACTGTGGTTGAAGAAAAAGATCTTGGTGTTGTAATCCAAGAATCACTTAAGTCATCTAAACAGTGTATTGTAGCTAGCAATAGGGTTAATAGGATTTTGGGTAGCATCTATAGAAATATTGAATAAAATACAAGGGATATTATTGTTTCACTGTATAATTCACTTGTGAGGCCTCATTTAGAGTACTGTGTACATTTTTGGGCTACCCAAGAAGGACATTGAATTGTTGGAGAAGGTTCAGATGGAATGGAAGGACTGTCCTATGAGGAGAGACTAAAATATAGATCCATCAAACTTGTTTGTATTTAGCAGTGAAAACAATAAAACAAGGGGTTATAAATTCAAATTTTGGCAGTGTAGGAGTTGTCTGCAGTGTAGACAGTATTATTTTTCAAAGAGGGTGGTTGGCTTTTGGAATGAGCTGCCTTCAAGGGTGGTAGAGGCAGAAAATGTGACTGAGTTCAAGAAAAGATTGGATGAATACATGAGTAGTTAGGGGTGGTTATAGTTGGGAGCTGAAAGGGACATCCTTGATGGGCTAATAAGCTCCTTTTTTGTCCCTTTACAATTTTATGAATTTATCTCCAGAATGTAACTTTATTAGCTCAAAATTTTGCTATTACCATTAAGGGTGTTCCAATTTTGATTGGACTGGATTAGTGAACTGGTAGGAAATTGACAACTCCTTACGAAGCTGTAATAGCAAATATTGAGCTAATAAAGTAACATTCTGGAGATATAGGTCGTTATTTCATTTACATTTATAAAATTGTCTCATAATAAACTCCAATTTGTGTTAAACAAAGTGAAGAATGATAATAATTTTGTTTTCTTTGTAACTGATGTCTGGATTTTGGATGTATTAGCAAAATCACCATCCTTTGTAAACACCATACCAAATATGAATGACATATCAAATTATTCTCAGCACAACTAAGTAACCAAACCCTTTCAGGAGCTGAGCCAACAATAAGGAGGATAAGGGCAACAGATTGAGTAACAGACCTCAAGTTACTAATGTGTGTTTTATTGAACACTATATGCCAGGAAAATAGTGACAGAAACATGTACAAGAAAAGTATTTCTACAGAGGAGTCCACTGTCAGTTTGCCAGATATCACTGCAAGATGTGCAAGTGAGAAGTCTGGGAAAAGAAGTACCGAACAAGCAAGGTTACCTTACCAAGTACTGGGGAGTTACCAGCCAGTTCAGTGAAGTCCAAAAAGTTAAGGATAACCTCAATTTTGGACTGGATTAAGACTGTCAAATATGAATATAAGAAAGGTTACAAATGAGAGGAAGCCATTCAGCCCATCCTGCTCATTTGATTGTGGATCAAAGAATCTCATTAAGCTATTTCTTGTAGGATCGCAGTGACTCAATTTCAATACCATGGCTGGGCAGTTTGTTCTAGATACCCCTGACTCTATGTGTAAAAAAAATGCTTTCTGTTATCAGTTTTAAACATATATGTGCTTAATTTCTAAAGAGCCAAAGACTCTTGCGTATGGCCTGTTTTTGTGTTTGGGGAATTTTTTAAATTTATGATTGCACTTTTTTTGTAAAATTAAAAGGTTTTTGTAATTATTGTCAATAGTGTATTTGTTATATATATATGTAGGTTATATATGCATATTTGTTTTGTATTGGTAGTTTATATGGGCAACTGTTAAACTATAAACTGCTTATAATTTTTGCCTCAGTTCACTCAATGCCTTACATTTCCAGTATTGGGTACTTTGCTATACTCCTACCCCTATTTTTAGCTTTGCCATAAATACAAATGTTGTCATTATATTAGACTGACATGACCCTGTGAAAGATAAGTACTATCATTACATTGAATGAGTATGACGTTTTTGATAAACTTTTATTATCCTAAGTGGAAAATATGTACAAATTGTTTATACACTATTTGGTTTTTGAAATAAAAAACAAAAGGTTTACTTAGTCTCAAGCTTTCATAATCCCAGACAGTTTTTTTTCCTGTGATGTTTATTACTGTAATTACACTGAAAACATCATGTGATGTATCTAGTGTAATGACAGTAATAAACATAATGTAACAATGACACTTGACACTTTGTTACTTGATGTTTATTAAACTGTACACATTAAACTCGCCACATTGCTAATTTGTTTATTACTGAATTACCCTGGGCACATTTTTACTTTATATTTATTTCTACAGTTACACTCAACTAATATTCTGTTGATTGATTATTAATACTATTGATTCACTTGTCATATTGTAACTTGATGTTTTTTATATTTAAACTGCACTTGTTCTTTCTTGGTACTTGTTATTGTGATTGCTTCAGATACATTGCTACTTGGTTTTTATTACTGTAATTATATTGGACATACTTATTTGATGTTAGTTGCAATTATTACACTGAAATATTGTTACGTTATGTTTACTACTGTCATTGTTGTTTGGTGAAACCTTTTACTAGATCATAATATGCTGCTGTTAAAGTATTGTCATCTTTAAGAAACAGAAATTTGGTATGAATGTAATACAAAAATAGTTTTGGATTGTAGACGTTCTCAGTTACCACAGAAGCTCCAACACTTAAAAAAGTCAAATGAGATCTTGCGATAAAATTAAATTAATAAAGAAAAACCATAAAAATAAGAAAAGAATGAAATGAGTGCTCTTTATAACCCATGAAAATATTTTTCATGGTTATTTTTGTCTTATTCCTATGTATGTTTTGGTTTTATGTGGATTATTTTGAAGAATCGTATGTATATGTGTGTGTGTGTGCATATATATATATAATCTTTTAACTCCTTACACCACCAGGAATTGTTGTTACTTGTGTATCTTGTGTGATTAAGTTAGACATTTATTTTAAGGAATAATGTTTTTTATTTCTCTCACTATGTATAGAGATGAGCACATTTTAAAGAAGAATGGTCATGATGCCGTACAGTACTTATCTTTTCAGCGACATATAATTCTGTACATGTTCATTATTTGTGTTGTTTCTCTGGTCATTGTCTTACCAGTCAATTTTCAAGGAAATCTTGGTAAGTGTTGCTTCAAACTGTATATATTTTATTAATCTAAATAGTATGATTACATTAATTTTTAAACATGTATATTATCATTTATGAACTTTTAACTGTTATGACAATAACAAAATTAATTTAATAATTAAATAAATTAAATTAAATCTTCAAGAAACTTTTTGAAACATTTACGTCAGGGGTTCACTTTATTTGAAAGTTTTTATTTTTCATATACATTTAATAAAGGTGTACAGTCCAGATTGCAAAAATAACCAAAAAAAATTTTTTTTATTTACCTTTTTATATTTTTGTATGAGCATATCAGATGATTATGTAATTTTAGTATGTTTAATATGTTTCCTTGCCTTTAAGCCCTCAGTGGTACGTTTGCAGGCTTAAGATGCTAAAATTAGGGATTATACCCATGGTGTGAAAAGCACAGACAGCCCAGTGTGTAGCTTTGTGCTGAACAACAACTAGACTTTGCTTTTAAATACACACAGCAAATAATCTGTATTGTTTGGTACTGTTATGATGTTCTGTGGTTTGTAAATACAATTACAGGTTAATCACAGTAATTTTCAGATTTTTTTGTCTGTAACAATATGAACTGATTGGATTATAAATAATGAATTTTTATGAAGATTTATGAAATTGCTTAAAAGTTTTATATATTTTGTGCCAATTAATATGCAGAATATATTGGCACATTTTGATCATATAGTGCAATTGATTGGAAAGTCAGAAGCCCTGTGATTTTCTGTAAAACTTCTGTTGATATAAACCACAAAATTTTATACAGGTATACAGAAGAACATAGACACTGCAGTATTAGCAAACTTATGATAGCCTCATCAAAGTATGATTTTTAAAATTTTGTTTTTGCAATCTTTTTAAAAACTATTTTTGAAACTTAGTTTCAAAAGTTTAAGTTGAAATTTAATGTGTTTTAAATAAAGATAAGTTTAAATACATTTTTTCTTTCAATTTATGTTTGAGCAAGAATTGTTTTAACAAAAAGTTTAACATTTTTGTATTTTCTTAACATTGTTTAAAAGTTAGGAATTACATAGATGTTGAAAAATGGAAAGTTAATTGATAAGAGCATATATAATTGTTTATATAATGCATTTTCATATGCAGTGCAAGACTACTTATAAAAAGTATGGCTGTCTTTTTTACTTGATTAAAGAAATGGGTGCAAGCAAGGCTGATGGAAATATTGTCCACATGAGGTATTATGGGAAATATCATGAAATCCTCTATTAATTTGATACATTAGTGTGAAATGGATAAAATTGCTGATTCTGTCTTAAAACTTTACAACAGACAAGTTATATGTGATGGAGTTTTACTCCACAGTGAAAAAAAAAAGTTGTTTTCTTCTTTTATTAGAGGGAGATTCCAAAACCTTTGGTCACACTACTCTCTCCAATCTCAATCCACAGTAAGTAATCAGCTTATATATATATATATATATATATATATATGTGTGTGTGTGTGTGTGTGTGAATAATTACCACCTAACCAGCACATTTATCATAAAATGGTAGCCAATTTATATGTGTATATAATAAAATAAGTGATTTACATTCCAAATATGTCAGATGTATTTTAGTTAAATGCTATTAGTCAATACTCATTTAATATTAAGATAGTAACAAGTGAATCTAACTTCTTTTTAAACCACCAAGTGAATTAGAAGAGATGTACTGTATTATACATTCTTACATAGATGTAGTTTACATTGTGGCATACAAAGTAGTTTGTAATCATGACTACATGTAGTGAACTGGACTTTTCATTAGTGTGAACCTTAGGATAGAATAACTAAAATAGTAATCGTAATTTTCATGAAATCTGCTAAATCGTCAGAGTGTCATCAAGCAGTTTAAATATATATTCCATAAGCTTAACCCTTTTGTTGTGTTTTGGTGTAGAATCTATGGCACTTACTAACCGTCTTTTTCTATTTACCTGTACAGTTGTATTTGATCTGACTATGTGTATAATGTGTTAAAGAAAAATTCATAAATCTTCAATTTTGTGTAACTAACACCTGACAAAATTTTGTGTATCTTCATCAGGATAATGCTTTCACAGAAGTTTTGGCCCCTCTAACATTCATTGCTTTATTTCTACAGCTCTATAATGTTGTTTAGCCATGATAAACTTAAAAGAAAAAAAAAGCAGGGCCATCAATTATGCTTCCACTTGTGCAAGAGGTTTCCTCCACTCTATAGTCTCCAAAACATCCATACAGTGTATATCAGAGATATATTCTAAATACGTTTTTAGCACTGAATGATTGTAAAGTGCATGATGCATGTAACTATATTAAGATGAATAAGTTACATAACTGAGAGCAGAAGGCCTGAAAATGTTGTACAAGTAATTTTATTATAAAAACTGCAACACTAACAAAAATAACAACAAAAAGGTCCTGCACAGGGAATAAACAGAGTAGAGCATACAGCCATTGTTTAGCTTTGCATTTAACAACAAAACAAACAGATTCAGAAAGTAAAATTTATAAATTTTATTAAGAACTTTGAAATATTACACTGAATAACAGTGTTATTGATGATGATAAGCTTTGGCATACTAAAATGCTTCATTAATAACCTGCACAACTTAGCTGGTTTTTATTGTATTGAATGTTTTTAATTCTTAGCTGAAATGTGTGTTTATAAATCAATTAATTTAAAGGATCTTTGCTTCTATCTTATTTGAATATCATTCTTCTTGGCCTTTTTTTTCTTTTTTAATGGATGAGAGTTATTTTCAATTATAACTGATTTTTACTAAGCTCTGCATAATCACAAGATCATTTTGGTGTGTAAAATGTAAAGTATTAATAACTTTTCCAAGTGCACATGAGGTAATAGTTGGGTGTTTATTGACTATCTGCCTTACCTTTTGTTTGTTAGTTTAAAATTAGGGATGGTTATGTGCTGATCGCTTGTAGCTTTACATGAAAAATTCAACACAAACTCCCTAATGCTTCAATTAGCACATTTGAATAGTCTGATGGGGATGAAGGAACTACTATTTAATTATGCAGTGTACTTGCCTTTCATGATAAAAAAACCAGTGAGAATCCTTGCTTACTGTAATATTTTTCTTCTATTATATTGTGTTTAGTCAATATTGTAAGTAAAATTTAAGAATGTAAAGTTGGGAAGGTATTTGGCATTGGTATGGATCTTAGTTAAACCAAAAGTGAGGCTGAATGGCCTGCTGTTCCTTTTAGTAAAGAATCTGTTGTAGTTTAGATTTCTTTGAATATTTTTTATTAAATATAGATGGAATAAAATAATTCAAATTAGTGTAAAGCATGTATATGTATATATCAGGAATTAGCAGGGATATATAAGATTAAAAACCATGTTTTTGTAAAAGTTTTATTGTAAATTCAAAATAATGAACACTGTCTTTGTGTCAGATATTAAATACATGCATCAGTTAGTGTACAGGAGCTATATTTTAGTTTTTTGGAAGTACATATACTGGTAAACGTACTTTTTATGTTACCTAATATTATAATGTTTTGTGTACTTATTATTCTCTTTGCCTTTTATCATCAGCTCCCCACTGTTATGGGTGCATGTTGGACTAGCATTTGTGTTTTTACCCCTGGGAATATTTTTCATGAGACAGTTTTCACTGAACTTGAGCATTGTAGAAGATGAAAGTTTGGTGAGTATTAGTTATATAGAAAATAATGCATTGTCTTGTCTCTTCATTTGGTTTTTATTTGTAATTCAGAATGTTTTTTGAAGTGCACTGTATCAAAAGTACAATGTCCCACAAATTATGCTATAGAAACTTTCTTGCAATATTGGTATGTTTTTTAAAGCAAATCCTATTTAATGTATGCATGAGAAAAAGTTTGAGCGACTGAAATGAGGTGACAGGTTTGTTATTCCTGCTTTAATAGTTTGAAGTGTCAGGCAAGGCAAAATAAATTTAAATTCTAAAAATTGTTATATGGTTTTAACATTAACACTTGCAACAAGGCTTTCTTATATTACTTCATGATTTGATTTTGTTCAATGTGTGTTGTTGATAGACTGCTGAGTATTGTTCCATGTTCATTACTGGTTTAATGTGGAAATGTTGGTTATAACTAATGTGCATATACACTTTACATCTTTTTTTAACCATTTTACAAATTAATGTAGTTATGAAATAAACATTACTTGTATATAGATTGTAATCTTGAGTATATGAGCAAATAAATAAATAAAGTACAAAGACTGGTTAAAAGAACACAACATTGTAGTAAAGGAAGGTGATATTAGCAATTCAAGACCATTTGGAATATTTAATGAGTAAAAAAACATCTATATATGTTGGGAAGAACATTAACCTGCTCTGATAACAAATATTAGAGAACAAATGTGGAAGTGTAGAATCATGGCATATAATAAAAGTGCATTAATGATATGGGTTGATATGAAGGCTGTAAGAATAAGAATTCTGGTATGTTTTGTTTTTTACCAAATGAACAACAGTGAAAATGACACTTGTGAGACCTCTACATGTTTGTTTCAAATTTCCTTTTCACAGGTGCAATAGAAATTGCTCACTCTTTTGTACTGTTCACAAGAATAGATCTTTCCCTTTTCTATTCATGTATATCATTGTTTTCAAAAGGAGGTTATGAGATTATTTAGTAAGATTTTGATGATACCAGTGAATGACCATTGTGGATTTGCAGAATGTCTGTTTATATATCTCTATTTCCCACTGATCTTGACAATTTCTCAGGTCTTTCCATCAAGAAGTGATTTACCAATTTCAAATTCTTTCTTTTAGTTTAAACTCGGCTTCATACGTAATGAGTGGTCAGAGTCAATTGCATTCATTTGCCACAGCTTTCAGTTATTACATGAATGATTGGCTCATATTAACTATTAAATATACATGACTGTTTAAATTTAATGCAAGAGTTATGATTTAAATAGTTTTAGATAATGTTAAATTTAGTTATTTTTAGAAGGGGATAGTTTATTGCAAGTTTGTTTATGTAATTGTTTATGAATCATTTGTTGTGTAGTTCAATAGTTATGAATTGGCAATTGTTATATTATTGCATCATGTTATTAGAACCGTCTTGAGTTTTTCTCATCTAATTGAGTATTATTGAATCATAAAAATCTAGTAGTGTGTGGAATGTTCTAGACCTCTGTCATGGTATAAATATGTGTCGAAAATGTAGTTTGATAGTTAAATCTAGACTGTGTGATTGTGAGTTTAGCCATAAAGTACCTATAGTAGCAATTTTTAAAGTGAAATTTATCACAGACTGTATTGTAATAACAGAGGTGAGAATAATTGTTTTGTCAATTGAGTTCTAAAGTAATTGAACCAGCCTATGTGGATTTTGATGAAAAAGAGACAATTACTTAAAGTTCTTGATACAACTGTCATAACCAACAGTTCTAGTGATGATTTTAAAGTTATATTTGTTAAAATGAAACCATAAGAATTTACTGTTATTGCCATACAATTTTCATTTTATTAAAATATTTCAATGGTCTAAAAATTTGTTAGAAGAGGGCATGAGTGCTCATTTTTTGCTGAAGGGGTGCTGCGGCAAAAAAGGTTGGGAATCATTGCATTAGATCTTTCTGTGTCTTCTATATCTCAATAAAGATATGCTTTATTACCCATCTTTTGCTGCTGCATGCACTCAATCTTTTACAAATCTTTTCCAGGCATTTTGGTTTCAGCGTCTTCACATGTTTGATGCAGCTCAACTTGAAATTTAGATTTTCTTATGCTTTTTTTAACTCCACCTATTGAGCCTTTAGCAACTTCTTTGCCTTGTATGTCGATCAGGACCTGTTTTCTTCTTTTACTTGCTTTGGGCAGGAAAGTTTGGATCTTGATTCATCTCTCATTTATTTTTCCAGGTGATTGATCTGTTTATTTCCAAATACAACATTTTTGCCTGAAACTTGGAATGCATGGGAAGCTAGCCATTTTTTTATCTTCACCATGTCTAAGCTTTTAGTTTACCTTGCTTGTATGACATCCTTTATAGGGTTTAATCTTATGTTATTTTTACTTTATGATGAATGCTGTTCTTTGGATTTAGCCCGAACTATGTTGATGAAGTGGCTCTTTCAATTGATTCTTCTTGCTTACCAGGTCATACCTAATACAGCAATTTTTGGTTTTGTTTAGGTTTGGCATTTGGCAATGTCTTTAGCAATCTTGTTGTGATGCCTTTTTGAGAATATCATGATGGCCGTTTTGTGAATGACTCCAGATAGATACCTTTTTTTTTTTCACTAACACCCAACAACAGAATAATAAACACCATTGTCTATCACTGGTAGCTAGAGTCTTAGTGTGTAGTTTGGAACTGCCCACTTAGGACTTGCATATGTTTATAAGAAACCTCTATATTTGACTCTGAACAATACCACCCACTATGTTTGTGCTCCATTAAAAGGTGATGCCCTTTAGATGTAAACAGAAAATGTTATCTGGTGGAGGATGATACATCTGTAGGTGCCTATCTTCCCATTTCCATGTGTACATTGAATATAAGTTTATAACAGAACATATAGGATATCATTATGAATCTCCATACTGTCTCTCAGCTCCACTCTTGGATAGGATACATAGTTCCTCTAAGATTTTCTTATTGCACTATCCACAAGTTTATTGACATCTAGTCTTATTCAATTATTACCAGGTGTCTGCTCATTAAACCAGTTGGTGACCTAACTTGTTTATTTACTGAAGTAATTCTTCCCTCGGAGTTGTCCATTCTCATTTTACTGAAAGATAAAATAGACTGGTGTTTGCTAGCAATCTTCCACAATAAACAGGATTCTGGTATCTCACAGAGCTCTACCTCTTATTTTGTTTAATCCACCCAGCCTAGTAAAATAGGAACTAGCTTCCTCGGTGACTAACTATCCTGCTGGGAACAATGCTTCTTCTGAATATCTTTATAAAACATTGGATCAGTCCTTTTTAACTGTATGGTCTTAACAAGTGCCTAGTCCTCTCCACTTCTTCTCACATGTGTATTCAGATTCTCATATTTAGTTGGGGGCTGCATGCTGATTTTTATTTCTCCCGCTCACTCTATTAGTTATCGATTGGTGGAGTGCTTCAGAGTTCATAGTCTGTCATATTCTCTGATTCCATCCTTCTTTTCAATGTGGGTACTCAGGCAAACTATGCTTTCAAGGTCAGTCTGCTTCTTTTGAATTTAACATTTTTAGGATTAAAGTGAATTTCGTACTTGTACCAACTTCTGAAGCACATTTTCACCCACCTCCCCCATAAACTTAATTTTCTGTTTTATATTGTAACTGCTAAAGAAAACCAGCTTTGGGCTGGAAGGCAAGGCTAAGTAGTCGTCTGATGTATGTACAAATAAGTCACATTGGAAGTGAGAGAATGAAGAGTAATGGGTAGATATGATGTAAATATTGAATTGTGTCAAGGACATTCAAAATTTTAAGTCACATGACATTGACAGAATGAGTTTTATCCAACATGAAGAAACAAACTTTGTTTCAGACATAAGTGCCTATTTGAAATTCATTTTATTTCTAAAAGTATAAAGGTTATTACGAAAAAAAAGTTAAAAGTAAGGGGAGCTTAAAGTTTTACTTTTACAATTGTGCAATAACAATCATGATAAAACACATAAAGTGAGCATCAAAAAGAAAATGCTGAAGATGTTCCTGAATTATCTGGGTAAAGATGTTTCTGTTTGCCTCAGCATATTGCCTGATATATGATTTTTAAATGTTGCTGACTATTCAGAAAATTTTATTGTCAAATCATCTGCTGTAAGTTATCTGCATTTGTTAATTTGTGACTTGAAGATTGGTTTTTAATTACTGTAACTTGTGTGAATGTGTTAAATTGGTTATCTGCTGTAACTTATTTGAATGTACTAACTTCTTATTTACAGATTGGTCGGTCACTGATGATAACTGCGATCCCAAAAGAGCATTGTTCAAGAAATATATTGCTGCAGCATTTTCAGTAAGCTTCTTAGTTTCCATTATTTTCAGCTCTAAAATTGGTATTCTGTTTCTCTTTATTTATACTATGATTGCATTTCTTTTAGTTGTATATTATTGTGTATTGTTAACTGTTGTTTAAGTTAGCACAAATAATTTTGATTCAAATGCATGAATTCTTTAAATACATTTTTTTTTTGTAAAACATATTTAGAATGTTAGCTTAAGTCTCCTTTGTGTCCAAACTAAACCTTCATATCATGTATTTAAAATTTATAAATTGAACAAATATATATTAAAGGTAATTTCTGTAACATACTTATAACTATTAAGTATTTTCTTGTGAATTTTAAAAACATTAATGTCTTTATTCATCATACTTTTAGAAGTGTATGAGTTTTCCATATTTTCTCCTTGTCTTTGTTCTCAATTACATGTACATCATAATCAAATGTAACTGTAACCTGTAATTCAAATTGGCATGTGTTTTTTTCCTAACTTCCATTTCACTGTCTTAAAGATGTGTTAAAGAACAAATATTACATGTGAACAAGTAATTTATATATTATGCTCACTTTTTCAGGACTGTTGAGTATTGTTAATCTACTTATAGTTAGCATGAACTAAGCTGGAAAGTATACATCAAAATAGTCCTTGTAAGAAACCAGCACATTAGGTTAACATTACATACTTTAAAAAAAAAAGAATGAAATCCAATATGAATGATATTTTATTCTACAAAAATGAACCCTTTCTCATCTATTAATGAATAATTGATTGAACAACAAGCACTGAACAGTTAGCTGTCATACAGGTTTTAATATTTTTCTAATGAAAATTTTTCAATATATAAATTGGTAATTGTAGAGAAAAGTGAATAATACATAAGTAATTTTAACTAAACTTAATTCAATTGTAAGACTATATATATGTGTGTGTGTGTGTACTATTATTATATATATGTATTTCTATTGTTTGATAGGGAGGCATATTCTGAATTCATTATACAAGATATCCATATTGCCTATGATGTTAGGAAATTAATTAAATTAGACAGACAAAGGTATGCACTACTTTATTTTTGAATTTTTTTGAAACATTTGTGTTTTCCTCAATGCTGATTTTTCATTACAAATAAAATAAAACTTCATTTTATAATGCTTATTGTCAACTAAAGAATTAATTATAGACTAGTTGAACATTATTTTGGATTAACCTGAATAATATTATTGTCATATCCTTTCTTTTTTTGAAAAGTGAAATGTCGTATAGACATTTTAAATTAAAATAATTAGCCATAAGGAAATATAAAACATTGTTTCATTTTTCCAAAGGGAGACAGCTATGCAGGCAAAGTTGTGGTGTGAAACAGTTTACAAAGAAACAGGACTGAGACCAAGAATGAGACCCTATACTTGTGGACGAATATGTGTATGTGGAGATGCCTGTGGCTGTCCACAAGTAAGGGACACTTGTAAAATCATATATGTTTGTCAACAGTCATGATAATACAAATTTATCTGAAATTTGTGTGAGTTGTTTAGTTCACTAACATTACACAAAGATTTACCACTTTTTCAAATTTAGAGGCACAAATTAAGACTTCTAAATCTGTTGCTCATGAGAGTATATTTGATTAATCCAATAAATCAATACCAATTCTTAGTGCTATTTTTACCATACTGTGGGATTATGGTCAGTTGGCATAAGATTGTTTTTTGTTTTTTTTATTGTTTCTGACCATTTATATCTTGAACTAGAATTCTGGCTTCTCCACTGATACAAGTTTTTTACTGTTTTCTTTGTACCATTTCTAGCATACATGTTTAATGAAACAGTTTGCAATGCACATGATTCATGTTGTGGTTGAAGATGTGATTGTGATGATAGTCACAAAGCTAATTTCAAATTCCATTTTTATATTACATAAGGATTATTTCTGATCAAATGGTGTGGTTGAATATAAGTTATTCATTTGTTGATAAAGTTTTTGTAACAGTAATGAGTGTTATTTTTATGATTTGTGGCAGTGGGATGAAAATTTGAAAGTTCAATATGTTGATATTCTGTATTAAGGACTTAAATTTGTAACAGTTGTAATCTAGTTTATATGAAATAGTAACATGTTTTATTTTATTTTAACTCGTAGTTTTGCTGTTATTTTCAGAAGTTTTTTTTGCATTTGTACATTTTTGAAACTTGTATACAAGATCAACAGTTTGTAGCTTAATATCTGAACTGTATAGCATATTGCAGACAAGTTTTAGGTGTATCAAAATAGAAATAACTTGTGTATTTATAATTCTTAATTAGATTTTTTATTCCAGATTGATGGATTGGAGTACTACACTGAAGAAGAACATGCACTGATATCAGCTGTTGATAGAGAAAAATCAATTGTTCTACAAAAACCACTAGGGATAGCATTTGTTACCTTCCAGACAGATACAATGGCTGAAATGTTAGTGTACTAGGCCTATTTTTTTATAACAAGTTGTTATAATGTAGATTGTTATATTTGCTGTGTATCAAACATTTTTTGAGAAAAAACAAGAAGTGGTTGTGATGTCCAATTACACTTTTATGCTTCTTATGCTGTTTTGGTAGCTTACGGTGGCTGGTCAGTATAAAAACCATACATTCTTCATCAGTCAGTACTAATATTAACACTGTATCATGTAGTGCATGATATATGAAATAACTTGTACATAAGCTAAGACATCATCTTGCATACTTATCAAACTCAAATTAACAGATTTTACATAATTTGTCTAGTGTTTATTATAGTAATGTTTCAGTGAGCTTTTAGCTGATATATCTATGTGATATAAATCATAGTTTTTTGTATGTAGAGTATAACCTTATTATCACCAACCTATGGTGTTATCTAGAAATACAAGTGTACATTTTGTTTTCTCCTATAAGCTGATCATGTAGCTTTAGCTACTAAAAGTGGTGTTTTAGAACTAAGCTTTTAGATGTGGTCAGAGGGCACTTGAAAGTATTCTAGATGAATTTATTAGTCTGGGATGTAAGCTTTCAAGTTTTTCTAACATTGGGTAAATTTGTTGAACTTGTTCTCAAACAGAGGTAGGAAAATGAACTAAAAGCCAAAAGCATAGGGGTAAACATTTTTCTCTGTGCTTTATCAGCTGGAAATCTTAAAGATTTTATTTATTATTTTATGTATTTTTCATGCTATTTTTGTGGTGATTGTCTATTTTATGTCTTTATCAATTCTAAATTTCATAGAGAAAATAGAATGATAACATTTATTCTTCATTTCTAACAAATATGATAGTGTAATAGTGTCCACTGAAAATGAAGTCGTTAAACTACATTATACTTAAACATCACTTGGACTAGTTAACATGTGAAACATTTCAGTGTGTACAAAGACCACCAGGAACAGTGTAAATGCAGTACCAATCCACCTACATCAAGTTTAAACTGTATCCTTGAACCTCACAACTGGCAAGTCGAATTTGCTCCTCCTCCTGAAGATATATTTTGGTAAGTACCTTATTAAATGTAAAAATACAGTGTTTGATATTGTCTTGTTTTGTGAATTTGTAGGTAATAAAGCCATATTTCTTTAATATTTCATGACTTTATTTTACCTAAAATATGAAAATTGAAATACAGTTTTATTATAAGTACACATCTAGTTTTTGTGTTCAAACTTAATATGCTGAAAACAGTAATGGAGAAAGAGTACAGGAATAATTGATTATATATCCATACACTTGTATGTTTTTTCATACTTGTGTGTGTGTGCCCCTTGAAGTGGATTCCTGCAAATGATGAGACCTCTCATTGAAGATTCTACTTATACAATTTACTTTTTTCTGAGATCCAAACATTCACCTGTGTGTTTTCTGTGCATGGTGACCCATGAAGGAGAGGATCTTGGTGGTTGAGTGATGTCTGGGACACTGCAAAATAAAATTTTGGCCTTGGTTTCTTATAGAAGGATGGCTTTCCCAGAATCAGTGAACCCATCTGATTTAGCTAGGGTCAACCAAGTGCCAGTATTGGATGTTTTTAACAAATGTTATAGATATCATTTAAATCTGGACAATTAGTGGAATTTGCTTATTGATTAATTGATGGGCTCATTAATCAATTACATTAAACTAACTGATTATTCTAATGTGAGAATTGAATAGCTGAAATAATCAAACATTTAAATAATCACAAACACTAATTTCAATTAATTGATTATTTTTGTGAATGGTGGTGCTATTTAATTCAGCTGAACAACCTTAAATTAATCTCAAATAATATTAGAAAATCATAATGGCAATATTTTAATTACTTGGATAGTTGCAATAATCAGAAATGGAAATAATAAAAAATACCCCAATAAATGAGTATCAACAGTTAGGCATATTTCCACTTTAAGAATTTGAGCTAATTAGCGATCTGATTTTCTTGTTTATAACACCATGTCCACCTGCCAATGTTAATGCAAGGTATTTGAACTATACAGTTAATTAAGCCTTATATTCCTAACTTTCACCAATGTTTTATCTGTCAGTGGTTTGGCCAATCAAAAGTATTTTGACATGGTAATTTAACTTGTACATGTTGTGGAGGCAAATACCATGATAGCAATAATAACTTAAACCCACACAGTGTTAACTACTCATGTTCCCATCACCCCTACTCTAGATCATGTCCCAAATGGATTTGAGAGAAACAGGTGCAGTGTGTTAAAAGCTTGAACAACATTTCTTATCTAAAGGCTAGTAAGATGGTAATACCTCTTCCAACACATAATTATGCTACTGCACTCTGTTCCACTACCACATTGGGAATATGGAGAGATCTCTCTGTCTTATGCATAGTATTTCTCTAGCCAAGTAAAGGGTTTTCTGCCCATCATGAGCAGACACATAGACAAACCATCATCTATACCAGTGATTCCAAACCTGTGGCCCGCGGACCCCTAGGGGTCCTCAGAGATAATACCATCTCCTTAAACAAGTAAGTTTTTAAATTCTGGTATTCTTTTAATTGCACACTCAGTTATATATGTCTTTTATTTGATAGTGAAAAATGGAAAAACAAGTTAATTATTAGCAAGAAAACAGTTTGTTGGGTAGATGGAATCTTTCAAAAATCATGTGATCCGTGGGGGGAAAATAATAATAAAAGGGGGTCCTTGGTGGTGAAAAGGTTGGGAACCGCTGATCTATACCCATCTCTGTTCCCACCACTTACAAGAGTTAATTCAGTCACATTGTCCCTGATATGAAGGACTGATTTTAGATCCCAGCTTCATTCACTGGAATCAAATTTATCTGATAGAAACCTGCTTTGAAGATTGATAGACCTAATACAACTACAACTAAAAAAAGTTTCAGAATCAAAACAAAAAGTCTTCCCACCAAGATCTACAACTAATTTTAAATTAAAGTGGACATAGTGATTCAGTGGAACTGTCGAGGTTTTTTTTGCTCTAATTTGAATGATATTATGATCTTGATTGATTCTTATCATCTTGTATGTTACTCCTTGTAAGAGATGTTCCTGAAAACTGCTGATACTTTCTCCATTCAGCAGTTTTCATTGTACAGGAAAGACAGGTTGGGTGACAGACAGGTTTATGGAGGAGTATTAACCAACATGCACCCTTTATGTCTGTGCCATTCACTACACTACTGGAGACTGTTGCCCTGTATGTCTCTATTTGTCATAACACCACATCATGTTCTGTTTTAGATATTACCAGGATAGGATTTCTGTCAGAAGGACTTGATGATCTTATCAGCAGTTGCCATCTCCATTATCTTGGGACACTTCAGTGGACACAAACAACTCCAAGATGGTAAAGATACTTATGAAGGGGTTGATGTATGTAATGTATACTCTCAAATCACAATCTTTTTGTCTTCAATACTAGAACATCTACTTATTTTCCTTCCCTAAGTCAGACTTTTAATGACATAGCTCTATCCATTCGTTACCTTCTTTTTCCTTGCTTTTCTTGGAAAGTGATCCCTGGTATCCTTGCTCATGATGGACACCTGACTTTCAATGAGCATGTAAGGCTCAGAAAAGGGCCTTGGATATCTTCTGCAAATATTTCGTTCTTGTCAACTGCATATCCTTTTAACTGGCTAATACCTGTACCTGGCAGGTCAGATACCAAAGCCAGTAGCAAACATGGGTTAAATTTATTTCAAATATCTCCCTTACCATCAGTTTTAAGGTCTTTTGGACAAAATTTGAAAGAAGAATGGAAGGTAAACTTCTCATGGTCAAGAGGTTGCTGATTTTGAACAAGGAGAGTGCTTCCCTTATCATTCCAGCACATCCACCTCTTCTCCTACCCTCTTGGTTATTAAGACATGGTTTCTTTTTGGGCTGATTTTATATATGAATATAATTGATCAATTTATCTGGGAGAGCATACAGTTACTCTAAATTGGTCTGACAATATATCAGTCAGACCAGATGTCATTCATTACAAGATGCAATGTGATCTGTCACCTGCCTCTCTTGAGGTTGTTTTTGATCAGATTTGGAAGAAGGAAGATTTTCCACATTATTGTGTCAAGCTATTGTCATCTCCTTTTTTCCAAGCCTTGGAAACATCCATAGATTCTTCTAGTTATAGACTTATTGACTTGACTAATTGTCTGTTTAGTTTTGGAGAGGATGGTTAATGCTCATCTTGTTTGATTCAAACAACCTTCTTCCCAACACCCATTGTGGTTTCTGTAGAGTGTGATCCACTTACATCACTAGGTTTAACTTGAAAAATTAAATAGGGAAGTCTTTCTCAAGAGGAGAATTTTGTCTTTTTTTTTTTATCTTGATAAGGCTTATGACACTATATTAAGATTTGGTATTTTACAGGGCATGCATTTATGTGGGTTGCATGACCACTTACCCATTTTATTGTTATTTCTTTAGCTGAGAATCATTCTGGGTCTACGTGGGATCAACACTATCCCAATCCTTCACACATATCTTAGAGTGTTTCTGGGTTGTGTTTTGAGTGTGACACTTTAGCATTAAGATCAGTGCCCTCACTCATTTGTGTGAGTGGACCATTGCAAACAGTTTCAAAATTTTATCATCTGAAACCATTTGCATGTATTTTTGTTACCAGTGGGATTAGCAACCTGATCCTGACCTCCATTTGGGAAGTGTACAAATTCTTGTGGTGGCTGAGACAAAGTTTTTGGGACTTTTCTTTGACCAAAAGTTTACTTTCCTTTTGCACATTAAGCAACACAATGGCTCTGAACATCCTCCATGTCCACTCTTCCACCTCATGGAAACTAGGTAGGTGTTCTGTTTTCAAGGTCTGTCGTGCCCTCATTCAGTATAATCTAAGCTATGGATCTCTGATTTACGCACTGACCAAGGACTGTGCATTAAAGATGTTAGACCTGTGCACCATCAGTGCTTTCTGTACTTCTTTTGTCTAGAGTTTGTATATGCACAGAGTCCATGTACTTTCTATTCACCTCAGGTGTTTACATCTTTCTTTGCACTATGCTTTGAACCTCCAATCTGTATCATGGCATCCCACCTTGTGTCATGGCATGTGTCTTCATGTTTTGGTGGACTATACTTTTTGCAAGTAGATGATTTGCTATTTATGCTTTTGACCTTTGTATCCAGACAAAGTTGACTGAAATGGGTCTGATATTTTACAATATTGCAGAATCTGATTATCAGCTTATCCCACCTTGGCTTATCATTCCCCCACCCCTCTGTGAACTTTCTTTTAAGTCATTTGAAGAAGTTAGAGACTTACGAATGAAAATACTGACTTTTCTTTAATGAACACCTTTTGAGGCATATTTCTGTTCATATTTTTACAGATGATTCTGTGGGTTCAGCCATAGTTGTGTAGTTGCTCACAGGATCTTATTTACAGATTCTGTGCTCACTGCTAAGTTATAAGCCATATCACTTGCTCTGGATCATATAGAAGCTAAGCAGTACACTAATTATACATTCTTTATTGGCTCACTTAGCATTATGAAGGCTCTGGAATTGCTTAATGTTAGTTTTCACCCAGTTCTATTGGACATTAAAAATATGCTGGCTCACATCTTGTCCATTTCTATTCACTTTTTCTTAATTCCTGGCTGTATTTGAATTTGAGGAAAGAAATAGGATGACATTGTGGCAAAATCAGTCTGCACTGGCAACGTTACATCCTTGCATATACCATATTTTGGTTTCAAGCCTGTTATCAAGGCAAGGCTCCACATTAACCACAGTTTTCTTTCTTATCATTTTCTTTTGCAAAGAACTGATCCATCAATGTGGAAACATTGTACACTGAAGTCACAATTGCCCAGATTTTACTTTCTTGCTATCACAATGATGCTGCATGACAGCACCATTTTAGACATGTAGTTATTTGTGTGTTCAGTAGGCTTTGGACAGTGTTATTTGCAATGCTGACACTGTTGATCATGTTTTTACATGGCATTGGCTTTTTTTAACTTTTTTATTTTTATCCATTTTTACACAACACAAAAAAGGTTTTCTCACCTTTTATACTTTATGCTTTATTTTTTATTACTATTTTACTGGTTGTTCTTACAAAAAAAATAAATACAACATTATGGTTTTGTGCTGTTAAAGTACAGTTAACAAACCATGTGTGTGATACTTTTGGGCTTAATGAGGAGTCATTCTTGTGTTGTGACAATAAGCTTTTACCAAGATTATTTAACCAATAACAAACTACATATAGATATTTAGCATTTATTATTATTAAAAAACAACAACAAATGATAAAACAGTAAAAAAAATCAGGATTCAAGAGATAACTAAATACTTTCAAAAGCTACTTTTTTTTCAGGAGCATTGGAAATGAGCTAGAAGTGTAAAATGAAGTGATATCACAGATTTCTGTGTTAGCTTATCCTTCCATCATTGAAGTGCTTAAGTTTAATGTAGGTTTGATAGTTTTCTGATGTTGAGAAAGATGGGAATCAGGCAGTAAAAATGATGTGAGAAACAATGGAAGTTGCATGAGAGGGATAAAAATTAGAGAACGAAATAAAGTTATATGTAAAATCAAATTTCTAAGGTAGCCTTAGTAGTATAGAGCAATATTACCAAGCTGTTCATATATTAGTTCAAAACTAGCTTAAGTTTAATCATCTGATTTTATTTATTATACTTTTGAATTATAACTTCTGATTTTTTTTTTTAATCAGGAAGAATCTAGCTGTCAGTGACCTGAAGTGGTATATCCGTGCTGTAGCTATTAACCTTTTCCTTTTCCTAGTCCTCTTTTTCTTAACTACACCTGCAATTTTTGTAAACAGTTTGGATTTGATCCAGCTCAGGCAGAAGATACAGCGACTGGTATGTTTTTATTAGAAATCTTTTGTGTGAGCCATATGAACTGGTTTATTTCCCAGTAACGATTTCACTGACTGTATGTGTTAAATAGCTACAATAGGATTAAAATTAGTATCATCTAAAATGTAAGCAAGATAATCAACCAGCCAGCTCAATTTTAAAAATAATTATTTTACAATACAGGAGGAAAAACTCCCTTAAATATATTTAGATGAAACTCTAAACAACTTATAATCAATTATTCCCAATCATTTATATACTTTTAAGTAGTAAAACATCCATTTTGAAATCCTTGAAATTTAGATATTATAATGTAGGTCTTGTAACAGTTTTATGTATTAAGAATAAATAAATATATTTAAATATATTTTATTTCCATTCTATAAGTATATTAAGAAAGTGAAATTATTAAGGTGAAAACATCTAAGTTAGGGAATCGAAAAGTCTCTTGTAATAAAATATCATGTTTAATTGTAATGTTTTTTGTCACTTTCCATTCAGTTATGTGTAGCTCCTTCTGGATTTCAGATGAAAATGTATACATAGCATTACAGATCTGCCTTTTGTTTGCTACTTATAGAATATATAATGATGTATAATGTTTAACTGCAGATGTTATTTATCACATTCTAATTCTAAAAACAATTTATACCCTATGTTTTCAACTGTAATATTGAATCATAGTTGTCCTTGGATATGAATAAATTGTTAAGTAATGTTAAATATCATATTTAAGTCATAATAAATGTCTTCAACACTAGTTTTTATAAAATGTGCTACTTTTCGTGAAGACAGAAGGTTATGAGTGCCTGAGGCTGTTTGTTATATAGAACTACATATAGAATTTTACAGAATTATGAAACAGAGGTAGAAGTTATTTTGTTATGTCATTGGTGATGAATATTTAACAGTTATAATGTATTTAATATTCCAGAGTCCAGTGCTCTCAGAATTCTTGCCTACACTACTTTTGTGGCTAGTATCTGTATTATTGCCCATCATTGTGGCTTATTCTGATGACTTTTTGTTTCATTGGACCAGGTAAGTGTGAAAACTATGGATGTCATCTTGCTTCGTTACTCTTATGCTGATTAAATGTACTTCAGATGTTATTATGACTTTTAATATAGTTAATTTCTTACCATTTGTTTTGCAAAGAAAATTATTTGTGGAATTTGCATGAAATATTCAACACATCTTTGGTGAATAAATATAAAATCATGCCATGTTACATTTATGTCTTAATCATGCCATATTACAATAAACTGTATAAGATCTTTATTTTAACAAAAGGACAGTACATTACCATTAAGGGCCTGCTTGAAATGTAGTATAAATATTACTATAGATAGAACCTTTCATAGAACCAAATAATTATAGTTTATAGGGAAGACGTTCTTTAAAAATAAAAAAGTACTTGTTAATAAATATTAGACGGACTAGTTTAATTTCTCTTAAAAATACTGTATTTAGCCAATCTGAACTGTAGAATTAACAAGTAAGAGCTTTATCAGTATACAAATTACAGATGTTAAAACTGTTATTTTGGGGTATTATTAAACATAAAATTAAGTAATATGTTGGCATATAAATGCAAAATAAATACATAATAATATATCAGGGAGGGGAGGAGAACAGTCTAGGTCATCCTATTTGGGATTACTCATACTCCAAAATGTCTGTTTAGACAGTAGTTCTAGATAATGTTCGTCTATCTTATCCTATAGCTTATTGCCTTTTATTTTTATGTTACCATTTATGATAACTTTATAATGTATTTGAATGCTTTTGCACATTTTCTTAGTAAAGAACCTTTGTATCAAAATGTCACTGTAAAAGAGAATTGTTAGTTTCTGATTTGATCATTTGAACAGATAAAAGGGTTACTTTTTTTTAATAGCTTAAATTTTTAAAAAGTTGACAGTAAAAAGAGAAATTGTGAACACTTTTTATAAGAAGTAAACATGATTAGCCAATTTTCTTGGCTGTTATATTTACATAGATATATTTTTTACTAAGCACAGATAAAAGGGTTACTTTTTTTTAATAGCTTAAATTTTTAAAAAGTTGACAGTAAAAAGAGAAATTGTGAACACTTTTTATAAGAAGTAAACATGATTAGCCAATTTTCTTGGCTGTTATATTTACATAGATATATTTTTTACTAAGCACGTGTTTTATGCTATATTTTTTATCATTAGCTTTGGAAGGCTTTGACAATTAATAAAATATGCTTCTTTGACAACACAACATTTATACTGACTTATCTATTTTTTAGATGTGTCATTTTACTAAACATTTTACTTGTCAAAATATAAACATTGTGTATGTTCTTACTTAACAACATAGTAATATTAAAGGAAATCTCCCACACAAGGTACCTTATAACATTGTGTAAACTTTGAAATGAAACTAACATTCTGAAGATTAATCTTGTATGTACACTGTAAAAATATTACATTACAAAAACAACTTTTAATCTGGATAAAGAATATTGGACTGAGTTGCTGCATTTGTTTATTGAATTATAAAATCCAAGCTAGAATGCTTCATATAATCAGAAATTATATCTGTGAAATAAAACTTGTTTATTATTTGAAGTGTTGTTATCATATCTTTCCTTTTCAGCTTTTAGAATACTGATCAAGATTTTGTATATGAAACAAACTTATCAAATTTATCTGACAAGAAAATTTAAAGAAAATCATAAAGATGCCAATTTATTTTGCAAATATTCTCAAAAATAATATTTTAAGCATTAAACAATTATCAGACATCTTGTTTTAAGTAAGTCATAGTGGCTTCTCTTTTTACTATTACTGTGTTTTTACATGCATTTCCATTATCAGATGTTTAAATTTAATGAATTGTTGTAAGTTTTGTTATTTGTATAATTTTCTCTAATGCATTTGTCACTGAAGGTTTAATTTTGACATTTTTGTTGTTGCTTTTCAGGTCAACAAGAAACCATTCCATAATGAAGAAGACTTTTGTATTCCTTCTGTTTATGGTTGTTATTTTACCATCTTTAGGTTTAACAAGGTCAGTTGATTTCAGCTATGTATATTTTAAATGTAGGTTTAGTATTAAAACATCATTACTGTTGCTCTTCATTCTTACTTACTATAGTGTGTTATGTGTTGTATTTATAAACTAAATATTTTCAGTAGTATTAGTAATGAAGTAAATAAGGTAAATATATTTATTACAATAAGTTTGGTGATGAGCATTAAGTAAAAAAAAATCACTGTGCAAACATTTTGATATAAATATTTATAATCTTTGCAGTACAAAGATAACAGACTTCACTTAAGTAGATTGAAATCTTCATGGTAAGCAATGGCTGTTAAATCGATTCTCTAGAGTAGTATTTTGGTACGGTAAGAAGCAGCCTTAAAATGCATTTCATTGTCATAAGATAGTTTTACTGTTGTTGATTTGGTTATTTATTTGTGGAAATTGTGTATCAATTATATTGATGGTAATTATGAAAGAAGATGAATCTCAGTTTTTGAATTATTAAACATCTTAGGAAAATTCATTCTAATGAATTTATTCAATGATCAAGACATAATAGTGTGTTGTGCGAACAAAACAGCATGCAGGACACACTGTGTGTTATTAACAGGAGTAACAGTTTAGCAATTTTCCACTTTCTGTAGCTCGGACTGTAGTAATCCAAACTATCACACATTTTTAATGGATGGGCTCTACAGGGCCTATACCACATTACATCAGACATAGAATCTTCAATTTTGATTGAATCTCTTCCTTTTTTTTTTCCCTCGCACTGAAAGTACAGAAACTTTATTTGATAGAAAAACATACTTAATTTTTATGGATTTTTTTTTAATTTTGTACACTAATAGATCTTTACAACTTACAGTTAGATGTCAAATTTGGTCTAAATATAAGCCACAAGTGCAAAGTTATTCAATTTTGACCAGAATTTGTATGCATGCCTACCCAAAAAAGTCATGTGAACTATCAGTCTAAAATATTTACTACAGCTTCAACTAAGAGTAAAGGTGAATCATTTTTAGGTTTTTGTCAATCGGATAAAAGATGGCTGATTGAGAGCAGCAAAACCATAGGATGAAAGCATGTGCTGATACGTACGTATTTATTAGGCCAAGCAAACTAGATCAGCAGTTTCTAGCTCAAGTTTTCAAATGAATCTTACAGGTGGATGGTGATTATTCATTATCAACTTTTAAGCACAAATTTGCTAAATTTTGTGATATTCTCCTAATTAAAGAGCATTTAGTGATACGTGATATTAGCTTAACCAATTTGCATAAATAATGTTGCTTGATACTGCTGTACAGAGTGCATGCGGATGTTGACAAGAAACTGGTAATTTAGTTTCCATGAT